GGAGTGAGCGAGCGGCTGCGTGGTGCTTAGTTGCCGACTGAGATTAAACCACGACACACATCTACCTAATTACACACAGAATCTAATCCTTCAAAACAAATGTTTTCCTAAAGGTTCATAACACACAAATCTGACTTCTTAAAGGAAGAAATAGGATAAACTCATGAAAGGGTTATTTAATTTTAAAATCAATACACAAATATGATTCCACTTGTGCCTCAGAAGAACAGCTTCAAACTAACTTCACAACCTTTTGAGAAAAATGTTTTTTGGTTTTGTGGTTTATTTGTATCAACTCTTACTTAACATAGTTGCATTTTTAAGCAGGCACCTACACATCAAATTCTACACTGGAAAGATGACCATGTAATGTATTAAATGCTGCGATTCTAGATGCTCCTTCTCTTTGCATGGCAGTTTAATGAATCTTATCACTGAAGCAAGTTATAAACGGATTCATTTAATTGTTCCTGATGCCAAAATATTAAGTATTAAATACCCAGAATCTGCAAGAATTAATGAAAGTCAGCTCTTCAAAATCAAGGTAATACCCTGTTGGCAAGAAGTATACGAATCTGTAATTTCAGTCTTCTAAAAACATGTGTCTACTCTGAAAAGCAAACCTGTAAGCAAAGAATAAAACCCTTCACATAAAAGGAAAGAAAATATTTTGTTTTCTCCTTTTTTACTTAGCATCATGAGCTTGTAAACTAGATGATCTTGAACATAGTAAGATCATCACTACAAAACAGCAAACACCAGGTGTCACTACTCACACCTAAAAAAAGTTGACAGAATTTTGATGTATAAAGTGGTACCCTAGGGATTGTAAAACTGGAGACTGAAGCAGACATCTGAAACACTAACCATAAAAACTAAGAATAGCACCATTAAGTACACACTGGTATACTGTCTTACAGGTCTGTGGCTACAAAAAGCCTCCAAATTTAATATATTTCATGTGGTTTTATTGTAATGGTAAGTCATTTTGCCATAATAAAGAAAAAAAATCTAACCCTAAGCTTCACAGTGGAGTCAGCATGTTTGTTCCTCATTCAGATATAGTATTTGGAATATCTTTAAAAAGTAACAGTCAGGACCATATAAGTTTTGTTTGCTTTTAATTAGTAATATCTCTTCAAGAGAAAAGAAAATATATTGAGATTAATAAAAGATCACTCCTTTCTGCATGCCTTTACCTCTTACTTGTTAACAGTTAAGCACCTAAACAGTCTATTGCCATTATACCAAGGATTCCCAAACGTTCCAGTCAAATGGAGTTCTGCAAACTCTTTGTTTCTCATGAGCTCCAATCTTGCAAAGTCTTTAAAGATGTTAAAGCCTTTTGCAAAGGGTACAAATTGGGAACCTGCCTGTAGGATCAATTTAATTGCAAAAAAAATATATTTTTGCACTTCTGTTTCACCAAACAACTACCATCTTTCATAGGCCTTAAAAATAAAAAAAGATAACACTGATCAGGTGACACTGTAGTAACTGATAGAAGTTCACAGAAAAAGTGTTGCTAACTCAATACCTGTACACAAAGATCCAGTGGAGTAATGCCATTTTTGTCTGGTAAATATTTGGCTCCTCTCATCAAAAGAATTTGCGCAGTGTCTCTCTGACCATGGCTATTCAAAAGAAGAGAAGAAAGAGTTAATACAGCACTTATGCTCTACTGTGAGTGATAAGTCTGGCTTTATTGTATCTAACAAACAAAACCAACATAAGCTAGGAGAAAACTAATAGTTATGGCATGAAACTAAGCAGAAACACAGGATGGAAGATAATGCCACTTACATTCTTCTACTACCTTTCAAGGCCACTGCAGAAGCACAGTGCAAAATTAGGTATGGGCCATTTATCAAGCCAGAGTCACACTCATCATTGAGAAATTATTCATCTTAGCCTAGCCTCATAAATATGTATGAGCTGCATTTCCTGCAAAAAGAGAGTTCTTTCTCAATTCACACCCTAATTTACTTCACAGAGAAAGTTTTCTTCACTGATTTCTCTGCTCACTCCTACCAGATTTTGGGGAAAAATAATCTAATTGTGCTTTAATCATCAGTAAAACGAGTAAGATTTTTTTTTAATCGATAAAACGTCTTTTTTTGCGCAAGAGTTCCATACATCACTCTTGGCTGATTTCTTTTAACCAGTACACATGAATGTTTTGCCTAGCCTTTAAATGTGAAGAGTGATGTTTTACTCTTCCATTCAGAGACTAATTCATAGTCTCACTCATCTATTTATAGGTCGTATAGGACACTTAGGTTTCCTTGAGTTGAGAATGTCACAACTATTCCAACAGGCCGTCATTGCCTAGAAAAAAATAAGACCAAAGATTATTTATATCCCTCAACACCTAGAGCACATACTTTCTAAAACCCTTTCTTCTGAAGAAAATGAGAAATTGGGTACCAGTGATTAGATGTTGACTTCATTAAAAACACACTGAAAGACTCGTTGACTATTGCCTTCACCAATATTTAGAGCATATACTGACAAATGTAATACAGAAGTATCTAAAGGGTGAAATGAAAGACTGACACAAAAGACATAGCAATTAAGGATACAGATACAAGTCTTTCAATTAAGTTTTAGATCGCAAGCTAGTTTACAGTGTGCCCTTTACGCAAACGTATATGAGTATTTGCTGTCCCGGAACACACCAAGGCTGCCTGCACTAACAGTTCAGGAAGGGCAAAGGAAAAGCAACAATTAACAGCTGAGGGTCTCTCAATAGCTCCCATCTGAGTTCTTCTCATCCATATCCTTCCAGCCCAGGAAACCAATAGGTTAACCTAATGTACTGGACTTTGCCCCAGTGCAAACAAACATTCAGAGTCAGCTACCAGATCTCAGACAGGAGATAAGACTAATGGCCTACCTGAAGCACCTCTTCACCGTAATTCTCTAGACTAAGTGCGCAACCCAACACCTTGAAAAAACAGGGGTTTCGGAGTCAGACTTTGAGCACCGATACCCTTTCTCCAGCCATCACCAGCCACTGCTACCACATCCTGCCCTCCCTGTCATCAGGGACCTATAGCCTTTCTTCCAGGGTGTCAGCACCACCAACCGGCACTTCTGAGACATTAACTTTCACTACACACCCTGTTCATTCTACATCCTGCCAGCTGCTCCAACTGTTAATTTCTACAAGAACATCACCGCTGTACTTGCAACACATTCCTTTCTCATGGAAAACCTCCAAGCCGAGACAAGTTGCTTACTTCTTTTAAAGTGGATGCCAATGCCAGTCCCTAAATCAAGCACCAAGGCATTCAATTAGCTAGCAGCTATTTATTCTCCACTTCCCTTCTTCTCAACTGCCAAGAGTCAGCATAAACTAACTCCAGAGCTCCAGAGACCAGGGCTCCCTCAACATAATTCTTGGCAGGCCACCAGGTCAGTCCATTTCTCTTTTTGTTTATATTAACATTTAATCATAGGTGAACTATTTAACCTATAACCAAAGCACAGGGATTATAAAATTGTAAATGTTCTACCAAATAGCAGAAATGCTCCAATTAAAACAAAAGGTCATTTATCATATGTGATTAGTTTTGAAATAAAACTAAATTGTGAAGAAAACAGAACTGATCAAAGCAACAGTATAACTTCAGTTCAACTTTGTAACTTTAAGGCATATATGCACATTTCATGTACACTGTAATACCATAATGTACATTAAAGAATAGTCAAACTTGCCTCATAAAAGGCTGCATTTTTAGTTTACTCAAAATAATCTGAGTTGGTAGATCTCATTTCTTCAGGAAAAAATTCAGCAGTCATTGATTTATGACTCACGCTAGAACATGCACAGCTATGTGTTTAACACGTCTGTTAGAAAGAGGTATATAAGCCTGCAGCACTAAGATAAGTATTTAGATGAGACACCAAACTACATTCAAACATGAGGCAAGATTAAATACCAGTCAACTTATGTTTCCTAAATTTTGTGCTTTCTAATCATTGTTATTGCAGAAGGGGGAAAAAAAAAAAAAAAATCAATTCCACTTTTCATGTAGCATTCAAAAGTTAATATATACCTGCAAGCAAAATAGAGCGGAGTTGCCCCTGACACATTCGGCCTGTTTATATCTGCACCGCTGTCTAGCAAACACTGCACCGTCTAGAATAGAAGAAAAAATACCAGCATTAGAAGAGCAACAGAGAAGTCTATTGGCTTGCAACTATTTAGTGTCATACATGTCTAATTACACTGAAGGATTTCATTTTGAGTAATGAATCTCAAAACCAAAATTCCTAAACACTAGATGGAAAATCATGGCTGTCAGAGCTCATAAAGCTTCCTTTGAACTTTCCATTTTAATAACAATGCCTTTTATTGAACTTCAGCTAATTCCAAAGACCCCTGGAACTACAAACCCTTTAAAAAGGAAAACAACACTTTTTAGAGAAACAAACCTCAAGTTCGTGACAGCCACCAACAGCCTTATCACAAGCTGAAGTTTTAAACACACACTAGAATAGAAGAAATAAGTAAGCAAATTCTAAAATATGAAAACATTGAGCAGACTCTCAAACAACTTTTCCTATATTTCAGTCACATAAAGTAGATAAGTCTATAGACAACAGTTTCTCAGAATTTAGTCTTCCAAAGTCGAGCTCTGACAATGACAACAGAAAGGATCTGGGTAGAACGATAATTTTTTTTGAACGGTAAATAGTCCTGGAGACAATCTGTATAATTCAAGATCACTACTCTACATGGCTGTAACACAGTTCAAGTAAAGCATCCAGACGTGTACTCTGAGTGTAAATAGTCAGCCCTAATGCAAGGCCAGGCCTAAAAATTATTCACACAAATCAATGAAAAGAGTCTATGTGAACTTGTTTACTTCTAATGTTAAATATCTAACTGACCCAATTCTCCGTTCATTTTTTTATTCAGTAAATTAAGATAATTTCAGACTTCAAAAGCACATAATAGCTGGTACAATTATGAATCAAACACATTCTAAAAAGTAAGGAAGAACATTTTCAAATGTGTAACATTACATCAAAACCTGCTATCAACAAGGCAGTAATAGTACTACGGAACAGCCGAATAGTATACAGTAAGTCACTTAAACTCCCATAAACACTGAGATCAATCATCTCCACAAGAATAAATTAGTTATGCCCATGGAAGTGTATGCAGTCAATACTAAGACAAACAATACAGTTCTTCACACTTCTAACCATTATCACGTGCATGACTAGCCTACAGTTTATTAAAAAAAAAACCCCACACACAACACTAAGGCATCACCCAATTCTTTACAAATCAAATTTGTTAATAAAATTTAGAAACTTACCGTCTTGTGTCCATTTTGACAAGCTACATGAAGGGCTGTCTGTCCCATTGCATCTTCAACATCTACATTACTGACATGCTGAACAAGATCATGAAGCAATTCTGTTCGTCCATTGACAGCCAACCAATGAATCTAAGTACAAAATGATGATATATGTTTTCTTTAGCAATAAGTGTTTCATAAATATGATTTTAAACCTGACTGTACTATTGTCAACATTTTCACAAAGAGAAGCTTTGAATAATATTATCATATGCTTAGGTACTTTGATCACATCATTCGATTCCTAAGGGCGCTGGACACACAGTGGTTTTGTTTATTTACGTGTAAGATGGCAGAAGCATAAGAAATGAGAATCTTCAAGTTCTTCATTCATTTTAAGAGCACCATGAGAATCAATAGCACTTACTGCAGTCAAGCCTTCATTATTACAAATGTTGACATCCGCACTGTATTCCAGCAGCTTGCTCATACATTTCTTCTGGCTATAAACAAAAGAATACATTAAAACCCAGCCAGGCAAAATCATTTATGAAGACCAAGTATCTTCTTAAGCTCCACTCACTCTAATTCGTCATTGTACAAACCATAGCAGGTAGTTTTACTTTATAAGGAACATGGTACTGAGCATGTGAAAAAGAGAAGTGATCATCAGTAGCACTAGTACAGTGCAAGTGTAGCATATGACAGCACAGGACTAAGAACAGTTGTGTAGCTGAATGTTTTTACGGAAAGCGTAGAAGTACTTAACTACCACTCTTAACAGCTTCAGCTCAGCATGAACTACGCTCTCAAGACAAGAAGGTAGAGTTCAGCTAATGGAAATCCATGAAGTTCATCATCATCTGTACACTTCAGTGAACACATTTACAGTACACTACTAAATCATTATTTAATGAGACACTCCTTGCAACATTTCGCAAGTCTTCGGCAAGCACAATAACTGCTTTAATGAAAGTAGGGGTGTTTTTCCTACTTCATGTTTTGTTCAGTCTTTTAATGCTCTCTAAAGCTTTAAGTGCTTTACCCTTAAGAGTTTATTCTTACTTTTCCTTTTTTTTTGGTACCTCTCACCTTTCTCATGCCTCGTTTCCACATAACTGTCTCCTGTGTGTATTCCTGCATTTCACCATGTACCACTTGGCTGCTTCTTTCTCCCTTCTCCTACAAATACCACTCCCACATACCTAAGAGCCACTAAACACTACCTCCTCCTCACTTGAGGTACCAGCCATGATACAATTCAGTTACTGTAACACATACATGCTCTAAAAAGAAAATTACAATATTACCATTATCAGCTGTGTGTTTCCACATACTACAATTCAAGAAATAAGATCTTAAAAGATCTTAAAAAGGTGTTTTCTCACTGTTTTGGGGTTTTTTTCCCCTCTCCTAACATTGTGCAGGCAAACTTTGTATTCCTTTCCTTGTAGTAAAAATTTCCTTGGAGATAATATCTGAGTAAAAATCTGAAACCTCTGAATCCTTCCAAACCCCCCAGTGTCCTCTTCGAATTCTTTTCTTACTTAGCTAACTGGAAGATGAATTCATCCCTTGTTCGATCACAGTTATAAGAATCATTAAGCTCCTGCTTAACAGAAAACACTAAAAATGACTGGCACCGAAATTGGCATGTCAGACATAATTTTATATAAATAGGAAGTTATTTTCTGAATATTTAAAGTACAGATTTTTAACCTCCAAGTTCCCTGTAAGTGTGCCATCCCTATTTTCAAAAGTGAAAACCAAAGTACTTTGTTTGAACTACACAAAAATATTACAGAACGTCAGCTCAAGTGCATTACGCACAAAGTCTTTTTTAAGGTTTTAAAAAACTTTTTTCTTACCCATTCCTTGCTGCTAAATGGAGAGGTGTACATCCTGAAATGTCCTGATAATTTGGATTTGCTCCTTTTTTTAATAATAGAACAAGACATTCAACTGATCCACAGCTAAGAACAAAATAAGGGAAAAACTGTAACAAGGATATTTACAAACCAAATATATATTGACATAAAGACAACAGCAATACTATTATAGATTACATTCAGTAGAAAATCTTAACACAAAACCATTAACACAAAACCATTTTTACACCCTCATAGTTCGAGTTACACAAAGCTAAAGGAAAGACACTTAAATGCAGTGAGAACTGACTGATCATAACTTGTACTAATGAACTGTGTACTAATGTACTATGTGATTTTAGTGACTTTAAAACCAACAGCGAATCTTTAAGACTGCCAATTGTTTAAAATGTAAACTGTTTAAAATGTTTTGCTTACTATTTCTTCTCACCTCCCTCATCTTTAATCTACTCACAGGACTGAATTTTCCATTAAATAACGATTCTAATATAATTCTTTTGTTACACTTCAGTGTCTGGAAGTTACGTATAAAAGTTCAAATATCAGAAAAATTCCAAAACTCATACAAATATTTCTTTGCTATTTGTTTTGAATCTGTAACTCCCTTTTACTTTTCATAATATAGCAGCTCTTCAGGATAATCAGTGTCACCGAGAACAAAGAAACTTTGCATTATGTGTTTATCTTACTCCTGAACTCTGCAAGAGGAAGAGCTGATAGGTCATGACGGATACAAAAATACCATATGTTTATCCTCCCTATCTGTTGTTATTAGTCTTCCCAATGACAGAACTGCCACACAACCACCCAAAGAAACTGAAGCCTAGCTGTACAATAAGTTGCAAAAACAGCATCTCTATGACCTCTTAATGACCCAACAACTAGCCAAGATCCACAAACTAAGAATCCACAAACTGTAACACAATTTCTTGGGTTTTATGACCAATAAATACAGCTTTTCAAAGATACTTCTAAGATGTATGCTAAAAATTTGCTTGCATTTTTTTCTTTAAGTACTTTCTTAAGTAAATTTTATATAAGCAGCATGTAACTCTGAGATGGAATGTTTGGGAAACAGGTATTTCTAAAACAGTCTGCTTAAAGCTGGAACTTCTACCTTTATTGTGTCCAAATACCTGCTATTTATATGCAGTACTACTACTATTTCTTTTATTTTTACTTTTTTTTTTTTAACAGTTTAAATATAAGAACTTTCAAGACATTTAAAATGGAACCCAAATATAGAGCACTCATTCGTTAGTATAAAGTTTAGTTTCCTGAAAGGCCATTTCAAAAACTATCTGGTTCATTTCTATTAAGGATGTTAATCTGGCTGTTTCTTGGCAATACAGATTTATCCCCATTGAGGACCTACATAAATAATAAATAATCTAGGTCACGGATTTGAAATTCGCACCTAAGTCCTTTATTCAGGATACAAAAATTTATTAGAAGTGAGTGGCCAAGCTATATTCCCTTCAATTACGGTCACATGAAGTACTTTGGAACAGCTGCTTCCTAATGAACATCCAAGTGCTTCCCACTGTTTTAGAATACTTCAAAAACAAGCAGCACCTGCAGACAAAGTTTCTCTAAATCTACAAGAGGCAAGAGTAACCCAGCTATACAGGATACACATAATGGCTACATTTCTTCACAGACTGAGATTTCACAGAAAGGAAAAAAGTATCCACCAGACTTCCTTCTCTAGAATTTGGACAGCCATTTGATATCACGTGTAAAACATGTCCTCTCAATGAGGCAGGCACACTGCTAAAAGAACAAACAAAATACAAAGAGGAAGTGCAAAAACAAAATGTTAACTGATACTACAGAGTTTTCCAGCTTACATTGGTGCCTTAGATTTGTGGTAATACTTTCATTGTTAACTTCTGGACTGGACTCAAGTAAGTCTTACTTTGCTGCAATATGAAGTAAACTTCTCTTCACACGTCCAAATGCATAATTCACATCAAATTTTGAATTTGATAGCAGCTCTGAAACAGACCTTCAAACAGAAATATAAATTTAATTAAAAAATAGCACACAATATCCAAGCAAAGTATATACTGTAACTTGTACACAAACACTCTATTTCTTACTTGATCACTATTTCTCTTTCCTCCAACAAATTTCTGAACAAGAGATCCAACAGCTTTCAAGCATCTGCATATTAACAGTACTTTTACTCTTTCACTTCTTACTTGTACATAAAAAATGAACTGTGACACTGGGTAACTGTTTCAAATGTAAACCAGTAAGAATTAGACCAGATGGCCAAATCACTTCTTCACAAGTATGGAAAACAAGCATATTAATAGCTTTGGTTTGAAAAACAATAAATTCCCATTTTCCTCCTCATCTCAACACAGACACCCTAACCAGATATCCAGCAGCTTTCCCAAACATAGGCAAAGCTCAGAAGGAAGATGGGTATGCAAAATCATCACGATGAAGTAGAAGGACACATGATACGTCAATAGGATAAGAAATTTAAATAGGACCCTTCAAGCCCTAATTTACAGTTTCAGTAAGAGTTACTACCTGCTTCCCTACAAAATTCAGCGAAAGGTAGCACCACTTAGCTGGCACTATACAAGCCCCCAGGTCCCAACCACTTTGAGGACAACTGGGTAAGAGAAACAGCTGCTCATCTGAGGAATCCCAGAAGTATCAATCTCATTGTCCAACTCTTATTCCATGTCTTTCTGAGACGTCTAATGAGACTAAGAGCTTCTATGTCATCAATAAATACACACTCAGAGCTACAACCCAGTTACGAAACAATGCTTTTGTTCTTATCACAGGACAAATTTCTCTATGTGCATCAACAGAACAAATCCCAGCTCCAATCTATGGCATAAAATAAAACAGGTTTCTCAGGTAAGAATATGCTGGGGTGCACACAGTCAGTGACTAACTTTAGCTACAGAAGATACCTCAGCAATTCAGCAGCAGAACTCCTGAGAATGCTCTAGCAGCTACAACTCTAGCAAACATGCTGTTTTTTCAGACCTTAAAAAAAAAAGGAAATTTAAAGAAGCTCTCACCTGTGCTGGTCAGCCATAACCATCGGCATTAGCGTATAGACAGCAGTTTCATTATCTGTGAAGAAATTAAATTACTCCATTATCATAAAGAAATCTTTTACATAAAATAAATTCATCTAGCAACACTTACTTACCTTTTAAAGTATCCACTGTTCAACAGATGTTTTTTTTTTTTTTTTTTTTTTTTTTTTTTTTTTTTTTTTTTTTGAATTGGATCCTTCTCAAAGCGAGGAATTAATTATGCTGCCTACAAGTTGCAATAATGTGAGGGAGCACCACACAGTCCTCCCACTGTGCTGCCAGTGCACCTGCACAATGTCTTCTGTCCCACTTCCAGACTTCTTTTAGGCAATGTTTATTTGTGTCTTGTGTGGCTTGTAGTAAGACAGAAGTTGCCAGTAAGCATCAGAGTAGACAATATCTTGTCTTTTGTCACCTTGTAACACAGGAAATTTCCAAAGTCCTGATACCTCTGAGTTTGTAAAAGTGATTTCTTTAAACTAAGTTACTCCATAACCATTCATTTTTGTCTCTAAACTTGAATACTTGAATGCAATAAATCTCATTTTAATTTCTGATCAGTTTGATATTCCATGTTTGAAGGCAATGAAAAAAGGCCAGAACACAAAGATCCAAGTCAATGGTGGGAACAGACTGACATTCAGCTATACAGCCTCTGTCAGTACTACTGCTGCACATACCAGCACATTGTACGGGTATGACATGCCTGTTTGGTCACTTACAGACTTTCTGGAGTAAAATACTATTTTTAAAGGATAAATTTGACAAAACTTAAAAGGTTTTAATGTATAATTATTATTAATAATATTAATGTACAATTATTATTATTGATTTATAATGATTATATTTTCTAGCTTGAAGCAAACTACCCATTGTTGGGAGTACAATCTCCACAGACTCTTCACGTAGATGCCAGCTTATGACAGGAGGGACTACACTTTCTGAGAACCCAGGTACACGGTTCCAGGATATGGAAATATAGGACTGTTCTCATAAAACTTATTTTGATCTTTTTCCTCATCATCTTAATTGATCCAAATACCAAAGTTACAAAGCAATCAGAACAGGAAGAATTAAAATAGACCCAAACAAGTATAGTTTCTCATACCTTTTACGTACCATGCTTCTATACATTCACTACTTCCACTAGATAGGCAAGCTGACATTTACCAAATACTAAACACAGAATTCTTCAGAGTTATCAAGTGGAGTCAGAGAAACCCTTATCATGCTGCAGCTATGCTATTCGTTATTATTCTTCTACAGTGCTCCAAGATTAGTGCTGCTACCCACTATTTGAAGCAGTCTGTCTGTAGCTAACAAAAGAAAGAAGCAATGCTAATTTATTATTACCTTTGAACATTGAAAAGAGATAAGTCGTATTCAAATTCAAATCACATTAACTGTCATTTAGAGAAATTAAAAAAAAATGTTGCCTGCAGTGAATGCATGGCGGAAGAGACACAAGCCTCTCAAAACACCAAATGATGTTTCAAAGCTGCAGAGAGTAATTCTAACCATCACCGAGTTCAAGAGTTTGAACTGTCTATAGAATGTTCCTTATGGCAGAGCTCTGTGAGCATCAGATAACTCCATCCCCAACATGCAGCAGCAGAATTTGGCTGCTGTGGGGGCAGGCAGGCTGGGAGGGAGGGGACACATGCGGAGGGAGAGTCCTGGAAATAAAATTAAATAGATGTTAAATAAAGATATCAATTGTGGAAAAGATTTGATCACTTTTTAAAGAGGTATCCATGATTAGCTCCCAGTATATACAAATGAAAAAAAATTTCTTGCTTGAGCTCTGTTCTACAGATCTCTTGGCAGGAAGATAAAGCTCTCCAACTGAACAAAAACACAGAACCTGAGAATGCCAACTAAATCTGAGCATGACATCCTTACGTATTTCCACAATCATGCCATATTAAAGAGAAGAGACAAAAACAAGCTTTAAATATACCAGTACACTTAACTGAAATGCTTAATACTGATCCTAATTAAATAATACAAGTATAGTGATCTAGAAAAAGACAACAGTTAAATGTGAGTAGCTGGGCCATAAAAGGTGTTTATGGTATAGTTACAAAACTAAGCCCTTTGCTATTCTATTAACAGAATCTACACTATGGAGCATATGCAGATTTTCCCAGAGTTTTTCTGTACAGAAATAATTAAAAAGGTGTGGGACTAAAGAGCTTTTGTGCCTATTTTTGGTAAATATTATCCCTATTCATAAACAAACTCCTATTGACTCAAAATAAAAGTACACGACCCAGGGAAAGAAAAAGCATTATATGCCTCATGCACTTACAGAACTTATTTGTTATCTAATTTGCTTGCATTTCAAGTAATGAACATCTAAAGACAAAAAAAGCCCCCAAAATACACAGTCAGAGCCAACAAAGGGCCTAAAACCTACAGCTTTGGGCTGCAAGACCTAGTTTTCAGGCACTGAGCCTTAACGGTAGAGTCCAGAAGTTTGTGTCAAGCTCTTAAGTGCCCAGAAAACGCCTGCTGAAGGATACTTCAGAAGAGTGATGAAAAAAACAATACTATTTCCTACTGACAAGGTCAGCTCAGGGTATTCCTATTGGCAAGGTCATCACTGGACTCAGGTGTTAATGCTTGCTTTAAAAAAAAAAATCACTTAAAATTCATCATCTAGAATCCTGCCCTGACAAGATACACTTATTATTTTATTTCATAAGAGATATTGGCTTGAACTTGGCAGAGATCACAATCTTAAAGTGTCAGCACCATCCATATAATACCCTAATGGCTACATCACATGCAAAGGAAGTGAAATACCTAGATTTAGTGCCTTCTTCAGCATAAGGAAGTTCAAACATACACCTCTGTTTCCTGAGAGTACTATGACTCTTAGTTTAAGGATGGAGAGGTAAACTATATATCTTTCAAATTAAAGCTATTCAAATGTATGTGGGGAAAAAAAAAAGAATCATAATTCAAGAGGCCAGACACAGCGCAGAAGAAGCCGCCAAACCGCATGCCATACTAGACTGGTGGTGGTATTTTCTAAGCTGATCCTGTCAGTACATGTTTGGAGCAAAACACTACAACCCAAACCTGCTTCTCAAGAAGAGTTTGCACAGGACTGCATGAACCTTGGGAACACCAAGGTCAAGAAAGAAGACATGTAATGAGCTAAAATGTACCCAGCTAAGATGTACCCAAAGTTAGACAGCCATTGAATGGAGGTTTTCTTGGAATGCAATTTGAGACTTCAGTGCCTGAAGTCCATTTATCTCCTTATTTCAGTCCAGCTGTGATTTGTTTCATGTAATTCTTAGAGAATACATAGGACTGATATTCCTTCTGCACTACAGGGCAAGAGAATTACTTGTTCCGGAGGTCACAGGGCTTGCACTTGCACTACCACAGACATAATTACCTCTGAAGTGTAAGATAATAACGCCCAAGATAGGAAGAAAACAGCTGAACTCAACTTCAGAATGAATTTACCTACACTAGTACTGGAGTAAATTTAAATCAGCTCCAACCAGCATAGGTTGTGCTAAGCATTATTCATATTACCATCATCAATTAGTTAAACTGGTGCTACTACATTATTTCTGTAAGCCTAAGCTTACATTAACAGTATTACGTCAGCTTTCACTGCTGCCATTCAAGAGCTTACAAGAAGCAGCAAAACCCATCTGAAACTTGTCTGTCATTTTGTGAAATTTATGAGCAACCGCACTGGCAGACACTGAAACTGTTGAAGGGTGACAATAAGGAAAGGGTGTAGCAGCTCAGCGTAGGGGGGAAGTCCATGTGCAGCAGCCAGGAAATCCTAACAGGGAATGCGTAGAGAAAACAGAGTATTACTCCCTTTCCTCCACCACCAGAGATGAAAGCTGGCAGACAGACAGCCAAAGACTCCTCCGTAAAAATAAACCCTGAAGAAAGTACAATGACAGCACATGACTCACAAAACCAGAAACTTTTGCATATCCAAAAGCTTTTGCGGGGTAGTCTTCCCAAAGGCCGTACCTGTCTAGAACACTAAACTACTTGCCATAAGAACCCAAAGCCACGTTTTCAAGCCCATCCCGATACCAGGTGGCTAGCACCCACGAGTAGTTTAGAGCCCAAAAAATTAGGCTGTGACCAGCGACAGTGACTTACAACACCTTTTCAAATAAAATTCAGCACTATTAAAAAAAAAAACCACAACACAAAACCCAACAAAGATTTGTCATCACTACTGTGTCATCGACGAAGCATCTAACAAAGGATTTAAAACCGGATAAAGAGAGGGCCCAGCACCCCAGACCACCCGCTCGCCCGGGCCCAGGGGCGGCAGCAGCGGGCAGGGGCACCCCGCACCCTGTGCCAGACACCGCCGTCCTCCGGCGGCGAGACACCGAGGAAAGGAAGAGGACGGGGAAGTCGTTGCTGTCGTTGTTACCACCGTTAAAAATACAAGAGCCCCTCGGAGGGGGAGGAAGGGAGCCGGTTTCCATTCTCCCGAGTCGCCTCGCCGGGCGGGGCTACGTAACGGCCCCCAGCTCAGCTCACCCCCACCGGGCCGGCCCGGCATGGCCAAACCGGGGAGGCCGCCGCGGCCCCGGGGCA